ACTGTTAACTTTTCAAGTGATCATGCTGTTTTTCTTAAATTGAGCTCATGTATCTACTTTATGTATTTTATAGAATATAATTTACCACTTTTTATGTCTTATTATACATTTCCAGTAATAATAATCAAATGTACTTGGCTCTGGACTAGGGTTTTCTTAAAAAAATATTTTTCATTATCATTGGTTGTACAATGAGGTTTCAATTCCATATGCAAATTTATTAGTGCAATGCATCTTGATCAGTATCACCCCATCCATCATTCTCGCTCATTCTGTCTCAGCTGTATATACCTTCTGACATTAAATACACTAGGGTCTAAAAAGGGATACTGAAATGAAATAACATAATTGTTGAGACCTTTTTGATGGTAGAAGTATTGGCACAGTGTTACAAGTATACTCATTGTAGTCTGTTTATAAAGAGGTGGATAGGGTTGTGTCAGGGAGTGATGAGTTAAGCAACTTAGGCATTAGAAACATATCTGAGAATTTTGTTTCCTTGCAATTCTGGGGATTAAACCTAAGCATAAGTATAACTGAACTACATTCTCCGCACTTTGAGAATTTTAGAATTCCAGAGTTCTTTTACTGTGTTGAATATACAAGTGCTGTTTATGGGCAGCCCTCCCTCTTGATCTTTGCATTGTTAGGTGATTGCCTTTCCATCTGAAAAACAGATTGACTTAGAAGGTAGAATTAAGTGAAATAGAGAAATTTAATATGAGATGCTTTCTCATTAATGTTGCATCATTCTATTCTAAGCAAATTTATCCATAAGATATAACGAAACTCCATAGACTTACAAAAACATGCACGGAACTAAACTCAGTTATGAGTCGGGCAGTACTGTAGAGTTGCACTACAATGAAGCTTATTTTGTTATATTGACAGACTGCTTCACAGATGTATAATCTTGGTCTGTCCTAGGATTGAAGTCTGGAATCAAATAGTCCTTATGGGAGAAGGCATTTTATGTATGAACTATAAAGATCAGCCATTTGTGAATCATAGCCTTGCATATTAAAATACCACAAAGCAGATTTCACTTCCCCCACTCCTATTAGAGTTTAGCTTTCTATCTTATCTCTAGCCTTGCATTTTGCTGGTTATTTTGGAGACAGAATTGGCCTGGGCTGATTTCTAACTGTAGTCTTCCATCTCAGTTCTTCTTGAGTAGGTAGGATTATAGCCACTGGCATCTGGCCACTTCTGAATAGTTAAACTATTATACTAGGCTGTTTAGAGAATTGTCTTAACTTCGAGAAATAATTTTTTCATGTTTTGATATTGTGAAATTTGCCTTGTCAATACTACCTTTTCCTTTGGGAGCATTTCTGAGTTTTCAGTATTAGATATTTTACATATACATTTTCAGAATATTTCTAATATTTCAAATGGCATTTAATATCATGAGTATATTTATGTGTATACATGTGGATTTATGTATATGCATCAGAGTAGACTTGTCAAAAATGCTATTAAATATGTGTAAGTATATAATGCAAATAAGTCACACAAGTGTAAAATATCTTCATAATGTAGTTTTTTTTTGTTTTTTTGTTTTTTTTGGTCCAGTCGTGGGCCTGAACTCTGGGCCTGGACGCTGTCCCTCAGCTCTTCAGCTCAAGGCTAGCGCTCTACCACTTGAGCCACAGCGCCACTTCCGGCTTTTTTTTTCTTTTTGCTTATGTGGTGCTGAGGAATCGAACTCAGGGCCTCAGGCATGCAAGGCAAGCGCTCTACCACTGAGCCACCTTCCCAGCCCCCATAATGTAGTTTTTATCTGCAAAGAAAAGATGAATGGCTAAAGATGTTGCATTGGCTTCTTTTAAAATATCAAAAAAAAACCCCAAAACCAGCAAACCTTTAGAATTACAAAATTGTTCATCAGTTTTTTTAACTTACAAAACACTGGAAACTATATACAAATTGAAAGAAAAAATTATCTTTCACAATTTTGCCATTGCAAACTATGATAGTTTTGGTGCCTTTTCTTCCTTTATCTGTATACTTTTTTAGATTGTTGAGGTCATTATGTACAATTTTGTTATGTACAATTATGTACAATTTTGCTAGGTACCAGTGGCTCCTGCCTGAAATTCTAGCTACTCAGGAGACTGAGATCTGAGAATCATGGTTTAAACTAGTCTGAGCAGGCAATCCATGAGACCATGCCAGAAGTGGAGGTTTGTCTCTAGTGGTAGAGTGCCAGCCTTGAATGAAAAACCTAATCAAGAATATAAGGTCCTTGAGTTCAGTCCCAGTACCAGCATAAAACAAAGTAAACCTCTCAAAGTTGCACAGCATTGTTATCCCTTTTATTTTTAGTTAACACGATGTTAAGTTTTGGGCATATTAAAATTATTTGTGATATATATATGTATGTATACATGTATATAAAACTGTGTGTGTGTGTGCGCGCGTACTCTGAGGGGCATAAACTCAGGGCCTGGGTGTTCTTAAGCTTTTCCTGTTCAAGGCTAGCTCTCTACCACTTGAGCCACTTCTGGCTTTTTGGTGGAAGATAATTGGAGATAAAAGTCTCAGAGACTTTACTGACTAAGGATGGACCCACAATCTAAAGATCGCTGCTTCCTGAATAGCTAGGATTACAGGCATGAGCCAGAAGTACCTTACTGTAATATAATTTTATTAGATACAGAAATATAGGTATACCCCAGAATAAAAACTTTATATTGAGTATTATGTGTCACTCATGGTGCCAAAGTATCTTAACTGTACTCTGTGTATGCTTTAGAACAATCATGTTAGATATGTGGCATTAGCTCTCCTTCATGGATGAAAGCAAGTACAATGAGCTAAGTACATTGAACTAAGATTGTTTTTTTGTTTTTGTTTTTGGTTGTGGGACTTGAACTTTGGGCCTGGGCACTGTCCCTCAGCCCTTCAGCTCAAGACTAATGTTCTACCACTTGAGCCACAACGCCACTTCCAGTTTTCTGGTGGTTTATTGGAGATCAGAGTCTCACGGACTTTCCTGCCCGGGCTGGCTTTGAACCATGATCCTCAGGTCTCAGCCTCCTGAGTAGCTAGGATTACAGGCATGAGCCACCGGCGCCCGGCCTTCCAACCCACTTTTTAAGTAACATTTATATCATATTCAGTGTCATAACAATAGAAAATATTACCTTCATTTCTAATCTCTGAATCCTCTGGTGCTTTGGAAAGTCACCTCATCCATCCTCTTTTTACATCTAACCAATGTCAGAAAGATACTTGTGAAGCATCTTTAGTGAGTTGTTTTTTTGGTCTGGTCGTGGGGCCTGAACTCTGGGCCTGGGCACTGTCCCTCAGCTCTTCAGCTCAAGGCTAGTACTCTACCACTTGAGCCACAGTGCCACTTCCAGCTTTTTTTTTTTTTTCTGCTTATGTGGTGCTGAGGAATCGAACCCAGGGCCTCATGCATGCAAGGCAAGCGCTCTACCCCTGAGCCACCTTCCCAGCCCTTTAGTGAGTTGTTAAGAAAATATTTTAACACAAAATTAACCTAGCTTTGCCAAGTGATAGTTTTAGTTGTTTTTGTATTCTGTTTTATGCCTGTTGGAATCTTTGTTAATTAGAATTAGCAAAATTCTTCATGATTTTTGTCTTGTCCGTCCATTGTGAGCTTGAACTCAGGGCCTTGGCACTGTTGCTGAGCTTTTCAGCTCAAGGTTATTGCTCTACCACTTTGAGCCACAGTGCCACTCCCGGTTTTCTGGTGGTTAATTGGAGATAACCATACTTTTCCTTCTGGGCTGGCTTTGAACCACAATCCTCAGATCTCAGCCACCTGAGTAGCCATTGGTGCCCAGACTAGAAGTAGCAAATTCTTGGTGGCTCAGTTTCCCAACACTCTTCTAGGAACATGATGTAATGAGTTTAAGCACCTGAGAAATATTTCTAGTTGGAATAGTAAGGATGTCTGCTAAGTTTTTCCTACATTATAATAGGTGAGAATAGACTCATGAAAGGATTTTTTATTGTCAGTGATTTAAAACACAAAGGAATATAATTAGCTTTAATTAGTTATGTATTTTAGTAACTCCAGTCACTGGTTTGTTCAGCTAGAAGAGAAGAAATAGGTAAATGATAACTAAGAATTTAAGGCATAATGCTTGTCTTCTTATGATTTATGCTATAGACTACTGTCTACTTTCTTAACAAACAGTAATGTATCCAAGAAATTAAGTTGATCATATAACAGCTTTTTGAAAAAAACAAAACAAGAAGAAAAGAATTGGTTCATAAGGTTAATGAAAATAGAAAGTCCTCATAATTTTTTCTGCAGAAATTCTTGGCTGGCACACAGATGTCCATTTCTGTAATTGCTAACATTTAGGAAAACCTGGGTAATTTAGAAGTAAAAGTAATATTAGGCCTTTTAACTTGATCAACCCCAAAATGTCATAGCAGTGACATAGCAAAGAAACACATTGACCTAAATTCTTCTACTGTTACCTTTTATATCAAAGTGGACTTATTTTCTTACATGTATATCATTTGAGGAATTTAATTCAAATATTTATGATAGCAGATAAGATACTTATCCAGGTATGTTATGTATACCTTATCATATAATCTTGACAGCAATATATAAAATGTGTAGAAAATAAAAAGCCTTTATTAGTGGCTACTGTGGTCAAGCTGGCTATGCTTAGATATCATTGATTCGTATATTTGTGTATGATGCTTAAAACATATCTGATTTGGGAGTTTTCAAGATTTTCAGGTTAGAAATGCTCAATCTGTATATAGCTACTTGTTCTAAATTGGATCTAAAGATTGATTTGTTAATGATACTGACACTTGCTAATGGGTCATTTAAAAATTATAACTTGTTTTGTTTCTTTAATATAAATTTTTAATAGAAGTTAAGGATCTTGCTGAAATAATACCTCAAAAGAATTCTGAATATAGTGGATATCCAGTCACAGTAAGAGGCTCATTAGGTTTTCTAAAAAATAAATTCCTTTTATTTCTTATTTTTTTATTTACAGGAAACCTGTCCAGTTTAAATCGACTTGGTCTGAGATATAATAGACTTTCAGCAATACCCAGATCACTAGCAAAATGCAGTGCACTTGAAGAATTAAATTTAGAGAACAATAACATTTCTACTTTACCAGAGGTAAGAAGTGGAATAAAGAAAGCAATATCTCCCTGTTGCACTCTGTGAAAGTTACATCATTTTGGGAGCTAGCACTAGATGCTACTAAGAAAACGCTACGTAGCTATTATTTAAAGCTAAACTGCCATTCCCAGCTCAATTATCATAAAGTATTCTAGAAAGTATAATCTTTCTAGCATACACTGTTTTTTAATCAAGTCTAATATTAGCTGTAACTCCCATCAATCCAAATTATTGCTTTACTGATGCAGTAATATTAAAACTTAGTATTTCACATACAGCAATTACCAAAATTTTTATTTTTATTTTTTTTTATTAAGTAGTATAAACTTGTGTTGATGCTATTAGGAAACATTTTATTTTGCTTATGGCTTAGTTGGGTAAGACACAGTGTTCTTTTTAATTGTCTTAATAATTGAGTGCAGTTTCACTCTTCCCTTCCCTTCATTAAAATAGTGTACTGTACTGCAGCTGGACACGGGTAGCTCACGTCTGTAATCCTAGCTGCTCAAGAGGCTGAGATCTGAGGTTCACATCTGTAATCCTAGCTATTCAAGAGATTGAGATCTGAGGTTCAAGATTTGAAGCCATCCCAGGCAGGAAAGTCTGTGAGACTCTTCAGTAAACCACTCAGAAAAGGCTGGAAGTGGAGCTGTGGCTCAAATGGTAGAGTAAGTACTAGCCTTGAATGAAAGAAGTCCAAGGACAGATCTCAGGCCCTGAGTTCAAGCCCTAGGGGACACACACACACACATTCTCTCTCTCTCTCTCTCTCTCTCTCTCTCTCTCTCTCTCTCTCTCTCTCTTTTTCTCTCTCTCTCTCTCTCACACACACACACACACACACACACACACGATGACACGTGCTGCATTTTTTAGTATATGTAACATATTTTTATAAATTTAAGCACATATCTTAGTATTCTAACAAATGAACCAATGGAACTGTGAATTTATGGATTGAATGAGTTTCATAGAATAATTTTTTTTCCTGATAATTAAAAATGTCTTAAAAGCTGGAGGAGGTGCTACATACCTATAATCTCAGATACTCCTTTCTTTCTTTCTTTCTTTCTTTCTTTCTTTCTTCCTTCCTTCCTTCCTTCCTTCCTTCCTTCCTTCCTTCCTTCCTTCCTTCCTTCCTTTCTTTCTTTCTTTCTTTCTTTCTTTCTTTCTTTCTTTCTTTCTCTCTCTTTCTCTCTCTTTCTTTCTTTCTTTCTTTCTCTCTCTCTCTTTCTCTTTCTTTCTTTCTCTCTCTCTCTTTCTCTTTCTTTCTTTCTCTCTTTCTTTCTTTCTTTCTTTCTTTCTTTCTTTCTTTCTTTCTTTCTTTCTTTCTTTCTTTCTTTCTCTCTCTCTCTCTCTTTCTTTCTCTCTCTCTTTCTCTTTCTTTCTCTCTCTCTTTCTCTCTCTCTTTCTTTCTTTCTGTCAGTTGTGGGGTCTGGGTGCTGTCCCTGAACTCTGATTGGAGATAAGAGTTTCCTGGATGTTCCTTCCCTGGCTGGCTTTGAACTGCAGTTCTCTGATCTCAGCCTCCTGAGTAGCTAGGATTACAGGCATGAGCCACTGGCACCCGGCATGCATATATAATTTCTTTACTCAGGAGGATCAAAGTTTGAGGCTTTTCACAGGCAAAGTTAGGGATACCGTGTTCCCAAAATCCAAAAGGGCTGGAAGTGTGGCCCAAGTAGCAGGGTTTTTATCTAGGATGAGTGAGGCCCTGGGTACAATCTTCGTTACTTAAAAGAAAGTTGGGGCCAGGGAAGGAGAAAGAGGAGGGAAGGAAAAGGGCAGGAAGGGAGCCTTTGTTGGCTTCAAACTTCAGTCTTGTGGATCTGTTGCTTTAAAAAAATTTTCAAATTGTTTTTCTTTTTAATTTTAATTTTTAATTTTTTAAAATTATTTTTATTGTAAAGGTGATGAACAGAGGGGTTACAATTAGAAAAGATAATGAACATTTCTTTTAAAAACTGTTATCCCCTCCCTCATTTTCTCCTACTTACTACTCCCCATTCCTTTCCTCCCCAAGTTCTAAAGTTCATTTCCAACTTAGTGTCTAGTGAATATAATGGATCTTAGTTTCTTGATTACTAGAATTTAGGTGTGAGCCACCAGCACCCACCAGCCCATTTTCAAATAGAGATCCTATGGAGAAAACCTTTAACTGGTATTGTCCAAACAAGGGGAAGCATTAACTCTTATTTAAAAGTTGTCATGTGTTGTGGAAGTAATATTCTTAAGAAAAAAATGTAATTATCTGCATTTATAATAAGCACAGTAAGAAAATCAAATGCATTATATAGCACTTATGAAACATTCCAGCTGGGTTAGGTAAGAAAAATGGAGACTCATTATATTCAATGGAGACTCATACTATTGAAATCAGAGTTGATAAAATGATGAAGTTTTTCCACTTGAAAACTGTCTGAAAATGGCCTAGTTTTAATGTAGACATATACACACTCTTCTTTATTTTCAAACAAATTGAAGGCATTTTCCTGACTTGAATGCCCGGAAAGGTTTTCCCAAGACCATTTTTGTCTGTACTCTTATTTACTTTCTGTGCAGCAACAGACAGATGTAAAGGGTAGCACCTAAATGGTCAGTATAAAGAACAAATGGGCGTTTACTATGCAGCTATGCTTTCAATTGCATGGTTACTTATTCCTTCAGTGGACTTGCCAGTTATACTAATTGGCATCTCACACAATGTCTTAATGGGCAGCAAAGTTTGAACTCCTGCATGTCTCACAATGTGCTCATTTCTTTTTGCTTGTGCTTTTGCTTCAATCTAGAATCTTTTCTTCTACTATATAAAGTATTTTTTTAAATTCTTCTAGTTCTCATCTTAACCTGTTTTCAGTTACTTCATTATTTCTTCTTTCTTTGAATTTAAGTAGAGAGGGATTTAACTTTTAAGTCCCCCCCCCTTTTTTTTTTTTGTCAGTTGTGGGGCTTGAACTCTGGGCCTGGGTCAGGCCCTGAGCTCTTTGCTCAAGGTGAGCGCTCTACCACTTGAGCCACAGTACCACTTCTGGCTTTCTGGTGGTTAATTGGAGATAAGAGTCTCAGGGACTTTCTTGCCCGGAGTTGGCTTTGAACTGCGATCCTCAGATCTCAGACCCCTGAGTAGCTAGGATTACAGATGTTAGCCTCTGGTGCCTGGCTAAGTACTTTTTTTTTTTTTTTTGGGTCCGGTCGCGGGGCCTGAACTCTGGGCCTGGGCGCTGTCCCTCAGCTCTTCAGCTCAAGGCTAGTGCTCTACCATTTGAGCCACAGCGCCACTTCCGGCTTTTTTCTTTTTGCTTATGTGGTGCTGAGGAATCGAACCCAGGGCCTCAGGCATGCAAGGCAAGTGCTGAACCACTGAGCCAACTTCCCAGCCCCTGGCTAAGTACTTTTTATACACTAGGTTTTAGAAAAAATTTTGTGTATTTTTTTTTTTTTTTTTGTCTTCACTACAACCTAGAAAATAATTTCAGGAGATGGATGGGTTGGATAGATGGGGGAGAGAATGATGGAAGGGTGCCTGATGAAGATGCTTTATACAAATTGACAAGTTGAAACCCTTTTGTGCAACTGCTTAAACATGATAAAATTAATAAATAAATAAATCCCACCATTTGCAGTGATGTCCTCTTTAAAAAAAAAAAAAGAAAAGAAAGCACCAATTTTTTTTTTAATGAATAAACCAAGGTTAGAAAAGTAACTTGTTCAAGTTACATGCTATTAAAAGATAGAGCCTAGATCCAAAACTACTATAGTAGGCTGTCGCAGAGTTCCTCAAATGTTAATGAGCATAAAATCATAGGGGAGTCTTGCTACAGTGAGTTTTATGATCCTGTGGGAGTGGGCCCAGAGCCTGCATTTCTACGCTGCTCCCAGGGGATATTCATTCTTCTTGAACTAGGCTTTGAAAAGCAAGAGCCTATTTGAGGTAATTATTGATGATTATTATTTTCTAATTGTCTTCTATCTTGTGCTTAGCACTTTAGTCACATAGTACAAAGCTTAAATAGTAGGTAGGGTGATATGTTTAGTCAGTACTTAGTCGATACTTGTATCTCTCAAATTTTACTTTATAGAACACATCATGAAGGTAATGATTCCTAAAGGAATCATACATTATTGAGTAACCATTCAGTACCAGGAATTATGTTCATCTTAGTACTATTTTAGAGATAAATATGTAACTAAGACCTATATAGGAGTGGTCCTGTAGTCATTATCAGAGCCAGACTAGACACTTAACATGTTCAGTAGCAGTCTCCAGCTACCTAGGCTGAGCACTGGTGGCTCATTCTTAGGAAATAACAACTCAGGAGGCTGAGATCTGAGAATCATGGTTCAAAGCCAACCTAGGCAGAAAAGTCCCTGAGACTCTTACCTCCAATTAGCCACCAGAAAACCAGAAGTAAAGCTGTGGTTCAAAGTGATAGAGAGCTAGCCTTTAGCAAAAGAGCTCAGTGGCACTGCCCAGGCCTTGAGTTCAGGCCCCACAACCAACCAAAAAATAACCCAAAACTAGGCACATACGGGATATTTCTCACCTAGAGACATGTTTTCTCTATGTCCACTGAAGCCAAAGAATAGTGAAGTCAGGAGAATTTCCTCTTTTTTTCTATGAAATCTGATAATCTGACTTCATTGATTCCAGTTTCAACAAGGCCAGAATATTGCCAGGAAATAACTGTCCTATGGACAAGGTATCAGAACCAACCCACTCAGTCTGCGACTGAGGTATTTGTGCTTGGAACTGCTGCTCTATTCGAAATGGCTAGTTTCAGTTCTGAACTATGGTTATTTTGTTGTTTCTGTCTTTATTTTTTGCAGAGTCTTTTATCAAGTCTTGTGAAACTGAATAGTTTGACCTTGGCTAGAAATTGTTTCCAGTTATATCCAGTGGGAGGTCCATCTCAATTTTCTACCATCTATTCCCTCAACATGGAACACAATCGAATCAATAAAATCCCATTTGGAATTTTCTCCAGAGCAAAAGTATTAAGTAAACTGAATATGAAGGTAAGCATCTGTTTTGGGACAAGGGAGGACTTACCACAAATCTAATATTTATATTTTCTTTTTTGGTGTAGAAAACAAAAAGTCATACCTTGTTGATGAAGTCTTAAATACTTCTGAGTAATTTTTATCAGATACAACAAGCATCTTAGGATATTTGTTAGGAATTTGTTCTCAGGAAATAGTGTCATAGATGTACAGTTGCAGGGATATTTATTGCAGAACTTCCTTTATCATAGGTACCAACTAATTAATGCAAATAAGGATTTTTCTAAGTAATACTTTAGTAGAATACTATTGAGCCAAGAAATCTATTCTCTGGGGAAAACGTTCAATAACCAGGCTCTGCTGCTAGCTGACTCCTTTAATTCTAGCAGTTTAGGATGCTGAGACTTGAGGATTGCAGTTCAAAGCTAGCCTGGGCAGGAAAGTCTGTGAAACTCTTATCTCCAGAAAAAGAAAAAGAAGAAAGTGGAACTGTGGCTCAAGTGATAGAGCACTAGCCTTAATTAAGCACAGAAGCCCAACAACAGTACCTAAGCCCCGAGACCAGCACCAAAAAAAAAGTTATCAGTTGTATTATTCTCAGTTCATTAGGTAAAAATGAAAGCATGTAAAAATCTCATCACACACAGTATTCAAAAGCTATTTTTAATGTTTAATTATGTATTAAGTACTTAGATATTGTGTGTACACACACACACATACATACACACAGACAGTGTTTTTCCAAAGCACAATGTTTCTTTTTGCTTGTCTATGTGTTATACTGTGAATGGATTTCACATTTGTAATAGTTTGTTTTGAAAAGAAGAATGAAAGATTATCTAGTCCAGTGGTTTAATTTGTAATGAACAAACTTTAGGCCTGGAATTGACCACATAACTGATTCATTGCTGAGGAATCCAGGAAACAGGTTTCTTTATTCCAGGTAGTATTCTTTCTGTCATATCATACTACATCTTTTTGCCTGTGGTAATCCATTCAACTGTGATCCTTTCCAATCTAAATATGCAATTTCTTTTTTTTTCTAACTATACTTGATCATAAATATAATGTGTCTTTCATGATAATTTGATATGTATAAGTGAACTAGTGTAAATTCCATATTAATCTCTAAGCATACCATTTGTAAATATGATAAATATATACAGTTCGAATTACTAATGCAGTAGTAATAATATTGACTCTGAATGTTCATTTTTGTAATAGGTTTAGGACACGGTAGACCAGATGTTTATTAATTTTTGTATTTGATTACACATTTTTGGATCCAATTTTATTATAGTAGGTTACTTGGAAAGGCTTACTGTTTTCAGTAAAATCAAATCAAACATGATGTTAAACAAAACTTTCTCTTGAAGAACTTAAAATGAAACCCAACATTTTTTCCTCATGTAAAAATTGTTTTTATTATGTTTTATTGTCTATTTTAAATAGTTTTTTAAAATGATGTTTTTTAATCATCTATTTTAAATAGTTGTACAAAAGAATTACCATTCAGCAAATCATTTGTACAATGCATCTTAATTGATGTGTGACCCCTTTTGTCACTCAAAAGTAGTAAATTCTATCTGGGGTGCTTCTTTTTGTCTTTGCCAGGACAATCAGTTGACATCACTTCCTTTGGATTTTGGAACTTGGACCAGTATGGTAGAATTGAATTTAGCAACTAATCAGCTCACAAAGATCCCTGAGGATGTATCTGGTCTTGTTTCTCTTGAGGTGGGTGAAATCTTTTGAGCATTACTTTCTTTACTAAAGTTCATCATAAAATATATGAGCATTTAGAACTCTCGGACATTCCAATTTCAGGTTAGTCTAGCAGTTTCTATATGGGTGAAGATCAAAATGAAAAGTTATAATTTGAACTCCCTTGGAGACATACAGCCCTATTAAGATGATGAGTTATTTACTTAGTCTTAGGTTTAAAATTTCCATACTTCTGAATTAATAATCTTTAGCATTTAGCATCTTTATAACACATTTTTACCTTAATTTTTCTCAAGAAAAACAACACTGTCTACCAAAAATAATTACAGATTCCTCGGATTAGAATGTAATACCTTAGAAAAATTCTGTGACTTAGGCCTAATTTCCATCCTAATCACCTGCCTGCTACCCTGTTGAAAATGTGGTGTTCATAATTCTAGCTCTGTATGCTTATTCCTGTGATTCACATTATTTATAATGCTCTTTTCTCATCGTTTTTGTTTCATCTGTTTGTTTCGTCTGTTGGTGGGGCCTGAACTCTGGGCCTGGGTGACTTTTTTTTTCTTTTAAGAAGCTTTTTCGTAATGAAAGGTCCATCTTATTGTAATTTCTTCAGTCAAGAATGACTGCCTCTCCCTCTTGAGTACCTAGACCTTTCATCATTTTGATGCAAAAGCTTACTAAAATAGTATATATTATGGTATTCTTTTTTTTTCATCTCATGTTTGTAAAAATCCTGTTATTTAATAAGTGAAATAGTGTACTGAAATAGTTAAAAGCATTGACTTTGTTGTTGAACAGATTTGAGAGTAATCTTAAAGTTGATCTCAGTTTGCTAAGCTGTAAAGTAAGGACAATGGTACTTTGTAGAGTTGCAACTGAGATTAAATGCAGTACTGCACATGATGACAATTGGTAGCTGTTAGTATTTTGTTGGTCTTACTGCATATGTTTATTTTATTATGGGTTATATAACTTTGGGGGAAAATATTGCTCCTTTCACTATCCTAACTCCCAGGATTATCTCCCTACTCGCCTACTAATTATAATGAGAATAAGGACTATCTTCTTTTTGTTTTTATTGCTTTTAGACTCTTTTAGGATACCTTGAAATGTAATAAATACAACAAATAACAAATTAGTCAAATGTATTATGTAACATTACATAACAATGTTGTATAACAAATGTAACATTATATAGTCACTTATAAGTCAATTGTTATCTCCCTTAAGTGATGATTTATTTATAAGGGGTTTTTAAAATAAATAATCAGATTCCATTGGACAGTTGTAGTTATTCTATGGCAGAGCACATTGACTGTGAATCTTAGTGAAAATAGTATTTTTTAATTTTTTGTAATTTAGTTAAAATTACTTCCTTAGCTTTAGTTTTGACAAAATCAAATAGTATCTTTCCAATAATACAGTATTACAAAAACATTTTAGAACAGTAAATTAAATCTTTCATGTATTTTATAATTGAATATTACTCTTAACATTCATTGTTTATGAGAATCAGCATTACTCAATACATTCATTGTTTATGAGAATCAGAATTGCTCAATACATTTTAAGTGACATATAGTAATATATAATATAATTTCACAAGTTGTAAATACTGCCAATAACTTCTCTTTAGGTTCTAATATTATCCAATAATCTTCTAAAGAAGCTTCCCCATGGTCTTGGAAATCTTAGAAAGTTAAGAGAATTGGATCTAGAGGAGAACAAACTGGAGTCCTTGCCAAATGAAATTGCTTATCTTAAGGATTTACAGGTAAAATAGTATCCTCATGGCTCTATAATTGTATGATTAAGATTTTTGGATTTCATTCCAAATTGTACATAAAGTTTTCAAAATTTGGATCTAATTCTTGAATCATAGATTTTTCTTTATGAAGGTAAATTTTATGTTTGTGTGCTTTATTTACTTTCATCCTACTAGCAAATGATTTAAAAGACTATTTAGTGAGTCCTATCCAATTTAATTTTCCTATTAATGTATTTTATTCTTTAGATATATTTAAGTTTTCATCACATATAGGAAATGTATCTGTAACTATCTTTTCTTTTGTTAACTTTTTAGAAATTAGTCTTGACAAACAACCAGTTGACCACTCTTCCCAGAGGCATTGGTCACCTTACCAATCTCACACATCTAGGCCTTGGAGAGAACCTACTCACCCATCTTCCTGAGGAAATAGGTATGAACCCTAGGGATACTTGACTTTACTAATAATTTGCTCTTGTACTTTCAAACAATATTTCAGATATGTTTAACAAGTCTATTTTTGTAAACTGAACCTATATCCTGTTTCAGTTTTTATTTTATAATTGAGTAGTAGTGGCCGGTATTGGTTGGTTGATTCTGGTTATGTATCCTCATGGAATGCTAGGGTTGATACTATATTTGAGAATCCTTTATTACAGTTATATTTCCAATAGTTTTTATATAATCTCAAGTTGTAAGAATTGTTTTCTCTTCCAAATTTAAAAATTACATAGACTTGAATTGGTAATATATGCTGAAAGAACATATATTTTTTGTTCTTGATTTGTTTTTAATTAACCAGTATATTTTGTGGTTGTTGCTTTTTTTGTTTCTTTTACTTGTTTGTTTTGGGTTTTTTGGAATAGATAGCTCCTCTCTGTGTGACTCCTGATGACTATTAACTCTTGGGCTCAAATGTGATCTTCCTGTCTTAGTCACCTGAGTATTGGTATTGCAGCATAAATCACCATGACTAGCTTCAGAAATAACATTTCTTTATGCGACTTATATCAACTTCTGGGTGTACTTTAGGATTTTTCCAAGAGTTTCCTTTATCATTTTATATAGTCAACATGGCTGGCTTAAATTTTAAATCTATGCAAGTTTCATTGAAAACGTAGGAGTCCTTAAATGAATAATTCTGTATTATTTTCTGTTGCCTTTAGTGAGCTGTCTCAGAACCATTATAGATTAGTGGTGAAGAATGGTTTGGGAGATGGTAAATAATTAAAATCTAACTGCTACTTATTAGCTTCACCATTTTGGATATTACTCATTAAACTCTGAGAGCCTCTCTTTTCTTACCTATAATAGTTACTTATGTAGATTTGTTCTAAATAGTTACTAATCTTATAGGTAAATAAATTTATTACTTGCATCTGTTTAAGAAAAATTTTAAAAGACTACCTGAGTTGATTGTTGGCTTACTACCAAATGTATGCTAACTCTCAAAGATTTGTGCCAATTAACAAAAACTATTGACATGAGAAATTAATTAGGTGAAATTATCATACTATATATAGTAGAAAAATGATTGTAGGCACTAGTGTATAATAAACTCATTTCTAGAATTTTAGAATACACTTTGAATGCCTTGCCATCTCAAATGGAATTTCTAGAGAGGGCTCCTTGCAGAAAATGCCAGACTTTAAAACAACCATTTAGTGAAGTATGGTCTGAACATTGAGGTTTTAAAAAAGCCAACAAAAAGCCCTGAGATCTAGTTGTGAGATACTTTTAAGATGAAGAGAAATGAATAAGATGAAATATGTGTACTTAATGCCCAGTTGAATTTTTTAAAAACTGACCTTTTTTTTTTAAACAGGTACACTGGAGAATTTAGAAGAACTGTATTTGAATGATAACCCCAACCTGCATAGCCTTCCATTTGAGCTGGCTCTCTGCAGCAAGCTTTCAATCATGAGTATTGAGAACTGTCCACTCAGTCACCTTCCACCTCAGATTGTTGCTGGAGGGCCGTCTTTCATCATTCAGTTTTTAAAGATGCAGGGTCCATATCGTGCCATGGTCTGATTCAAACCTGCTGTTCCTACACTGTTCAAAAATAGACTGCCATCATTGTTTCATATCTATCTGTATCTATTTATGTAGATATTGATATATATGGCAGATTTATAAAGACCGCATTATGTGTTTCTGCAAATAGAGGAATCATAGCCATTTAGATTTTTTTTTTAATTCTGTACAAAAAAAAAAAAAGGCTTACATAAGTTTTCTTTGCTAAATTTGATGGATGTTTTTCTGTTGTGTTACCTGGTATGCCAGTTTTCTTAAAAAGTTTGCCAACCAATTATGAAGTCACTAAATTTAAGGAACAGAAGTAGTATAGTTCGGTATACTTTGCTCTTAAGAAAAATATGGGCCAAGGACTTTGTTGCAACTTTTCATATACATTGTCCCCATACCAGAGATCAGATCTTTATAGTATTATAGGCCCCAAAGACAGAATTTTTCTTTAATTTATTTTGAAATTTGAGGTTTAAATTTTGTGTATGTTTACAGTCAGAGTAAATCACTGGATTTTGTTTTGTCTTGATTTGCTCTGTTTTAATCAATCAGATATAGATTATATCCTCTGTTAAAGAATTTGCATTAGCTGGTTTGAATATAAAAGACAAATGTTTTTTGAAACAGCTAGCAAAGTAAAAATACACAGTCAAAAAATCTAGAATTCCATTAATTTTGCTTCTCTGATTAATGGAAGCAAAGTATTGGAGGTAAGTCTAGGTGGGGCAGGTATTAAGATTTTCTGAGTATAAATATGTTTTCTTAACTTTGGGGGAACAGAAACTTGTAGTGAAGAGTTTTTCATTCCAGAAAATTGCAGAGTCACAAAAACCAACAGAGAAATTTGGCAGATATCTAAGTTACACATAAACACACATTCTATATATGTATATACAATGCTATATAGATATGTATTTATTATATCATAAACTACAATAGGTAACTTTAAGGATTTCTCCCTATCCTTGTACAATGAAATGAATGTCTTTCTTTGAAAACTGCAATATATGTACGTTTCAAGGTTATTTAACAGTGTACTATGGTTTTATATCTTGACTTGCCTTGTACATCTATCTGTTTTGGAATCTCTGTGTCTAAGCACAATATCTTCACACTGTGCTGTATTGCTGCTGAACTAAATGCACTTTTCCCCATATATGGGGCACTGGCTTCAAACAATTCAGTTCAGTACCATTACTTTTAATCTCATCTTTCCTCTCTTGATAGTGGGTAGTACAGTTATGGGAAAGAGGCACATTGCATAGAAGCCATTGGTAGTTCTGTGGATGTTATGTGAGATGTGCATGTGCTATTTTATATATTTTCTTTCGCTTTACTGCCTTCAAGACTAGCAGAATTGTAAATGTGTGCCCCTTTATGTAGTGCTGTTATTTTTGGTAGTGTTGGTCTTAAGTCAGTTGACTTATCGAGGAAACTTACAGAGCAAGTGAATTCTAGATATCATCCTAAAAAAAAAAATACTTCCCGTATAATGAGTAACTATTATGTATATTTACGTATTGCTGCTTTTTTTCCATTTTGTTGGGCATTGTGTTTAAAAAACTTTAAAAATAAGACTATAATATTAAGATAGAAAATTGGATTGTTTTGCTTTTCTGGCATTCAAATTCAGGATGAGTTTGAGGTCACATTTACATTCATAATTGGCAATTTTATAAAGAACAACTGAGAAATGGAAGGCAGGTAAAGATATAAAACCCTAGAATGCTTAAATGTGCTGTAAAACTATTGTAGATGTCACTGGATTTTACCAAGTAATATCCTTTCTTTTCTCCATCTACTGTGGCTTTTCAGTTAAATTTTTGTTTATAAAATGAATTTGTTTATTTCAGCTCTACCTAGAGCATATGTGTATGTGTGTTTTTTTTTATAATAACTTATGGAACTTGAACTTTAATGATAGTAACTAATGGCTGTTTCTTAAGAATGAATATGTGATCATTTCTCAGAACGAAAATAGTTTTAAAGCAGTTTGGTTCCCCTATGTTTGTTTATGTTAATCTGCACAGATGTACAAAATGACCCCAATCTTACATACAGAAGTAAAGCATGAATAAGACTTGCCTCTTCTGCATAGACCACCTTGTAAGAAAGAGCCCATTAATGTCTCGTTACTACCACAAGGAAACTAGAAAGGACTCTCAGACATCCTGGTGAAAACAAGATATCTAATACTAAATAATTTGAAAATGGTAAACAATATTGTTGAATGACTACATGTAAAGTGATTTTTTTCCCTGAAACTATAATTGGGCTAATTGACATGCAAAAATTTATTTTCTTATAGAGATATTGTATTTAATCTATTCATGAAGTTCAGTAAATAAAGTAAGAATGCTAGAGAATATTAGATTGCAAAAACATTAAACTTTGATCATCTGTAGCAGGAAAATTATAATGGTAGCATCAAAAATCTTTTTTAACATAGCACTTTTAAAGTTCCAAATGTTTATTTCATACAGAAAAGGGAAATAGTAAATAATTTACTATGGGTAAATTATTTGAGTACTAATGAAAACACTAGAAGCTAGAAACTCTTGGGAGGAAAACATGCCTTGACTTCATTTGTACTTAAAAAGGTGGGTGATACAATTAGAATGAGCTCCAACAAAGGTAATTGCATATTTCTAATTTGCCTATAACCAGTCATTTAGAATGGATAAATTTCTGTATTGCAGTTAGTCTGTGAGTTTTTTTTTGTGTGTGTGTGATAACTTGTTACTTTTTGAAAGTTTTTCATCTGGGTAATTTGGAAGTTACATGTATAAGATCTACTTTCAGCTTGCAGAATTTATAATTTTTATTAATAAGAATGAGCAATAAGTATATGGGACAATTTAGAATGGAAAGAGAAGGGCACTATAAGTAGTTGTTTGGGGATGACAATCATGTATCAACTGTGTCAGGCAAATCAAGATATTTGGTTGCTTGTGCATGATTAAACTTGATGGAAGCAAATGGCAAGATTAAAAGCAATATAAAAATATAAATTTGAAATCTATCAAATTTGACTGAAATGACTTGTCATGAGGGAACATTTTCTTTGCACAGCTGTGATGGAGGATAAAATAGCATACCAAATATCTTAGCCAAAACTTGCCTTTTGCTTTATTCTTGTGCTTGTTAGCCTTCATTCACTCGCGCAATTGGATCGAGCATGGCCACCTTTGGTTGATTATATAGTTGGAAAATTTCAGTAGGTGAGAGGTATGGCATTGATTGGTATTTAAGGGAGTACCTTGAATATGTTAAGAATATATGAGAATGTTTGTCAAATAGATGTCTTCTTTGTTATTAAATAGATTGCCTGTGGTAACAATAATTCTGAGGGAACATTTCTGGGCTTATTTTTTAACTTTAAAAATAAATAAGGGATTTTTTTTTAACTTTTAATTTTTAAAATTGGAGTTGGTTGTCATTACCCTTTAGCACTTTGTTCTTGTACACACTTGTTAATTATTACACTGACATTCTTCTCCTACACATAGATGGAATATGAATACTAATTTGTGCTCAGGACTTCACCAAGATAATAGTTTGTAGTATTTCAGATTGGGAACCTTTTCAGGTTTGGTAGGACAAAGTCTCACAAGTGGAGAGTAACTATGCCATGTGATCCAGTATTATGTATAAGGAAACGGTCACTTCTTTGGTTTGCATGTTGTGACAGTTTTGTCTTGTATTGTCTTAGCAGAGGTCAGTAAAGTCCCTTACTTTAATATATGAGTATGTTATTTCAGATTTCTGACAGATTGACAGATATAGAGTCTTGAGAAAGCTACCTTTTTTCTCTCACTTGCACAATGATACTTGGTTTGACTAGAGTGGAGATTCAATGTTTGTGTAAATTATTGGAGCCATATTCTATCAGTTCCAACATCAGTTCTCAGGCAGTATTTAAAAGGTACCCTGAGCATTTCACATACTTACATATCCATCTTGGAAAATGTAATGTGTGCCTGTGGTGCTTTACTGTGACAATTTCAGATTTTCCATGTTATCTACCTTCTATCACTAGTATTATTTTCATGGAGAATTCGACATTCTAGTGGTCTTAACAAACTTGATGTACAAGTGGCAGTTGAAGCAGCCATTAGTACTGCTTTCTTTAAATAAATTATTCAATAAATCTACTTAATACTTAAAAAAATCTCATGTCCACTAAAGAAATTGTTTTTGTATGGCTCAATTTACTTATCTTAATATTAGTCTTTAGTAGGAAAGTATATTGATATATAATTTTGTTTACTGTTTGCCCACCTCTGAACTTTTTTGGGGGGAGATGGGGGAGTTCTTGGAGCTTGAACTGAGGACCTGGGTGTTGTTTTTGAACTTTTGTGCTCAAGGCTAGCACTCTACCACTTTGAGCTACAATTGGAGATTAATGTCTCATGAACTTTCCTGCCTGGGCTGGCTTTGAACTACAGTTATCCTCAGATCTCAGCCTTCTGAGTAGCTAGGATTACAGACATGGGCCACCGATGCCCAGCTTCAAACTTATTTTTAACAGTCACAACATTGTCTTTTGATTGCTAAGTAATAATACAAAGTATTTAGTAGTTTGGACTTTCTCCTACTAAAGATTAAATTTCCAGGTGTTCAATAGAATTTGTACTGTGCTGTACACTTAGCTATTCTGAATTATGGTTTGGAATAGGCAAAAGGTGTAAACGTTCTAACACCTTCAGCTAATATACTTTTTTTTTTTTTTTTTTGGTTGGTTGTGGGGCTTGAACTCTGGGCTTGGGCGCTATCCCTCAGCTCTTCAGCTCAAGGAGAGCGCTCTACCGATTGAGCCACAGCGGCACTTCTGGTTTTCTAGTGGTTTATTGGAGATAAGAGTCTCACAGATTTTCCCTGCCTGGGCTGGCTTAGAACCATGATCCTCAGATCTCAGCCTCCTGAGTAGCTAGGATTATAGGCGTGAGCCACCAGCACCCAGCCTAATATAATATATATATATATATTTGCTGATTATTTTAACTATATAAAAAATTTTCACAAAGTATATATTTATCTAGTATAAAAGGTTTATAAATGTTCTACTAGTGAGTATACATTTTTGATGCTATGTGTAACTGAAGCTGGAGATGAAATCAATTATTCCATAAAATTCTGGAATTGAAGTTGGATGCAGTGGCATACGCCTATAATCCCAACACTTGGAAGGAAGGCTGATGCAAGGAGAACGGAGAGTTCTAGACCTCCCAGGGCTATATATAGTGAATTTGGAGCCAGCCTGGGCTACACAGTGACGTTTTATCTTGTCACACGAAATACAACTGGGAAGTGACTTCATTGCTATATTATCTGATAAACTGAAAGGACAGATGGCATGCATGAGGTAGGTAGATGTAAGGTGCATAAAAACATGCAACAAAGTATTACATGTAGTCAGCTCTTTCAGTGTGGTTGTATATACTACTACTTATAAAACAGGCTTTTCCATAACTCTTACTCTATAATGAAAACTGCCTTGTGATGGAGATACTGAGTTTCAGAAGTAATTTTCCCACTCTGAACCTTCTAGTAGTAGTATTCCATCATGTACTAGAAAGAAAGTTTTGTGTGTGTGTAAGTGTGTAAGTAAAACCTGTAAGAAAGTCTGTTTTGACTCAGCTGTCATGTTAAAATATTAGGATAACTGAAGGTCAGAATTGAATGCGGCATTCCGGGGCTGGGAAGGTGGCTCAGTGGTAGATCGCTTGCCTTGCATGCCAGAGGCCCTGGGTTCGATTCCTCAGCACCACATAAGCAAAAAAGAAAAAAGCCGGAAGTGGCGCTGTGGCTCAAGGGGTAGAGAGCTAGCCTTGAGCTGAAGAGCTGAGGGACAGTGCCCAGGCCCAGAGTTCAAGCCCCATGACCGGACCCAAAAAAAAAAAAAAAATTGAATGCAGCATTCTCTGGAAGGGGAAATTTGTGTAATAAAGTTAATTTTTTTTTAACATTTTACAGCAGCAAAGACTATAAGGTCAAAGGAGATCACACCTAATAGAAACTAATTACTTGGAGAGGTTAACAAGAATGATTTAAATGTCATTTTCCTCCTTGGATTCTTTGGGGGAGTGTCCATTTTAATCATTGGCTCCTTTGAGAAGAATGAATTGAAGAGAATGAATGCTTAGAGGCCAAGAAGCTGAATGGGAAGTTGTTGAGTATTCCAGATGAGTGAGCATGGTGGGATTCAGCTGCAATGTATGGCAGTGGAGAGACAGAGAAATAAGCATTTAAGGGCATGCTGGGAATAAACATTAGGAAAAATTGATGGATTCAACAAGTAAGACTGAAAGATTGCCCCCAGACTTAACAGCTTAAGCATTTGGGTGTATTTATTAAACTAGTTTGTCTGAGGGTGGAGAGAGGATGTGTTCTAGTACCTGTGGAGGACCACCGTGGAAATGCCAAGGAAGCAGCTGAACACTTGAAACTGGCTCTAAGAAAAGCCCAGAGACATGACATAACATAAAAGATGGCTGTTAAAGTAATGGAGACAGTGAGGGTGAAAAGAGGATGGAATTCCACTGAGTGCCAACATTTAGTTTTTGTGTGCATAGGAACTTGTGAAAATTAAAAGTAGTTGAAACATGAGAAATTTCATTTCTTCAGAATTGCGTGGCAGGTGCCAGACGCCAGACTGATAGTGTTAAGGGAAACTTTTCTTCATTGTCTATACAGTAGACTTACATGACTGCTCATGCTTATGCATATTTTTCTTTTTTGTAGTATTGGGGTTTGAACTTGGAGCCTATTAGACAGGTATTCTACCACTTGAGCCATGCCGTAGCTTGTTGCTTTAGTTATTTGGTAGATAGGGTCTTGAATTTTGGCCCAGGGCCAGCCTTGAACCTCAGTTCTTAAACCTTCTAAGTACCTGGTATTGCAGGCATAAAACACCATGCCCAGCCTTTTTTGGGGGGAGGGGTGGGGAAGATGGGTGCATGTCCTGTGGCTTGAAGTTGGGACCTGGGCCACTATTAAGTTTTGAGATTTTTTTTGCTCAGAACTAACACACTACTAGTCAAGCTACAGCTCCACTTCTGGCTTTTAGGTGGTTAATTGGAGATAAAATCCCATGGATTCTCACCTGCTGATGAGTTTAAATACATCTAGAGGGAGAAAGAGGTGGCATGTAGCCATATTTCATATACTTCTAGGACCATAGAACATGTATAAGCTTAAAGTTTGTTTTTTGTAGAATGAGTGACATAATTCTGCCCTTGGTTTTTACCTTAGAATTGGAAAGTATATTTTCTAGGAAAATAGAGGATATAATACCCTGTATATTTTGTTTCTTGAGAAGAAATACTCTTTAAGTGCACGATGCAAGTATCTGAGTACCCAATAGCGTTCTAATACTGGTCTTTGTGCTGAATATACTAGTGGAAATAACAGGCCACATAGAATTTGTTTGGGTAATGCAAACAAATACTAAGTAACGTTTTAAGTTTATTAGACATTGATACAGCATTTAAGGAGCTTGGATGTTGTTGCTTTGTCACAAGTGAAAGTCAACTCTTAGCTCCATCATGTAGAGGTCACAGATAAATGGTTACCTCTGGCCACCTTCCACTCTCTCACCCACCCACTCACTGTAGAGAATCACAACTTCCTGGGGCATAAACCCACAAGCAAGAAACCTGGGCTGAGTGCCTGGTTAGGAACTCTAAGTGACAAGTAACTAGAGGCTCAGTGTGGGGGTGGTGATGGATGTGTTTCTTTGACTGTAATCATTGTAAAATGTTTATCATTTCACATTGTATTTGACAAACACTTTATCTCCATGGGGACCCCATCCCTTCTGAGTTCTAAGAACCCTACCAGGGTCTTGAAGTGTAGGCTGGAAGAAAATATGGTATAAGCATAAAAGGAGAAAAAAAATCTTTAAAAAAATACCCCCGAGTTTTCT